ATCATATGGCAGATCTATCTGTAGATTTTTGAGGAATCTCCAAATTATTCTCCAGAGTGGTTGGACCAATCTACATTCCCACCAGCAGTGTAAAAGAGTTCCCCTTTCACCACACCCCCATGAACACTTACCGTTTTTTCTTTGTTGTTGTTGTTATTTTTTTAATATTAGACATTTTGACTGGGGTTAGGTGGTAGGTACCTCATTGTTGTTTTTATCTGCATTTAACCTTTTGACTTGTTTGTTTGTTTTTTGCCACAGGGATTGTATGAGAGACAGAGAGAGGGGAAGTGAGAAATCATTTCCCTCCCACCCCGATGGTCACACCAAAATCCCTTTTCCTCCATTATCCTCTCAAGATTTTGGGAATGTTCACACATGCAGCCTGTGTGACTTAATGTGCACACACGCAGCTGGAGTGATTTTTCAGGATGCCAGGTCTGGGACTCAAACTGTGGTCGACTATGGGTCCAGAGCCACCATGCCACCTGCTCGCCCCAAACATTTTGACAAACTTTGCAAAATCAAATTCTAAATTAAGTGTTTTTGACCTTGAATTAACTGTGGGTTTATCAAGGGAGATACCTCATGCATTCTGTGTGGGTCACATATACTCAACACCATAACTAGAGGCTTTCAAACTACAAAACAGGACAAGAAGTTGATGACTTCATGCCGTGGACAGCTTTTTCAAGATGTTGGAACAAGTATTATAACGAGACTCCAAATTTCTCCTTGCTTATGCTTACCTTTGCTTTGTAGGACAACGCTATAGTTATTAAAAGAATTTCATAGTAAGCAGTTTCTCTGAGGAACCTGATGAAATTTTAGATAGCCTAAGTAGTCCTTTAGTCCACCTAGTGGCTAACCTTAGCAACATCCTTAATGCAACTGTTGAACTGGACAAACTGACAAACTGTCCCCAAGTTTCATGTTTTGGAATTTGACGGTGGGAGGTAGTGATTGCATCATGATGACTATATTAATATGACGGAAGCAACACTCTTGTGAGCAGATTAACAATGTCTCTCAAGACCCAATGAGTTTTAGCTCTCACGAGAAGGGGTTAGTTTTCATGGAAGCTGGTTGCTAGAAGAGTGAGCTGTCTGAAGGCGACTTTCCCTCTGCATATGCCCATAGTCCTCTGTGCTTCCCTCCAGCACGTTGTAGGCCAGCCCGATGCCTTTGGACTTTCTAGCAGCCCAAACTGTGATTCAATAAACTCCTATTTCTTTCTTTTTTTAAAATTTTGCCAGAGGGTATGTGTATTTGCACAAGGGCTGGGAGGACTGAGAAAGCACCCCTTATGGGGTATGGTCACACAATCCTCTCTTCCATTGCTCCCTCCTTTCAGGATTTTGGGCATGCATGTACAAGTGCAGGTGTGTTTTTCTGAGCCATCAGACCCAGAATTCAAATCGTGCAGTTGGCCCTGTGAGATCCAGTGTCTTAACCACCATGCCAGGGGCTTTATAAATCATCCAGTTTCAGGCTTTTTCTGTTAGCTTTCTAATAATGGACTAAGACAGGCATATTCTAAACTTGGTACTAACCTGCTGGTAGTCACAGTAGTTTTCCTGGTGTGCTGTATGCTCTTGAGAAGTCTTAAATTTCTCATGAAACTGTCTGCTGAAAGCTAAATGGTATCTCCCTAGCTAGAATGACAAAAACTCCAGGAAACACATGGTAATGACACTGTAACCTATGACTGACCAGTTGAGACTGATAATCCAGAACGATGGTGACTGAGAGTAGAGCTGATGTCCTACGTCTTGGTCAGGCTCTCATCTTGAGTTTAAAAGGGTACTTGTTAAATAAAATTTACAGGTGGTTGATTTGGACAGGGCTCCTGCACCAGGCACTACAAACCAACGCCAACTGGGGTAGTGCAGACTAAGCTCCATCCCCAAGGGAACTGCCTGAGAAAGCTGGAGGGATAATAATCTCTCCAGGGCCAGCAACTGGCAGAGGTTAATGCTTAAGGCAGCTGGATCCTAGATGGTTTACAGTGCGCACACGCAACTTGAAAATCATGCCAGGAGCGAGCCCATGTTCAAAACCTCCAGAAGAGACTGCAGGAAAGGGACTGCGTGTGGCCACCCTCCCCCGAGGGAGTGGGAGTGACGGGGTGGTGTGTGGGGGTATTGATTTCTCACTCCTCCTCCCCGAGACGAGGGAGTGGGAGAGGCGTGGTGGTGTGTGGGGGTATTGATTTCTCACTCCTCCCCATGCCACACGCTCAGTTTTTCCTGGCATAAGGAAGTCCTATCTGCTTTAATTTTTGCAACCTCCCCCCACCCCCCAACTTTTAAACAACCAATCTGTTTTCTGCTTAGCTTCTGCTTTCTTCCGCTCTCTTCTGCCTAGGAGACCAGCCTCCACTGTTCATAGCAAGGCTCATCCAGTTTTGTAGTGGAAGTTGCGTGATCCGGAACAACAGATACATGCAACCGACACTTTTAAGCCGCTCTAGGTCTGTCCTGAGTATATGCCCCTAGTAACCATGGCCTCTTCGCCGCAGACCCCAGGCCCAGTTTCCTCTGGGTGGACGGAAATCACGGTTAGGCCTCTACAGCGCAGGTGGGAGAGTCAGCGAAGAGGGGGACTCTCTTGCCAACAAGCTCAGTCAGCTGGTCGCCCACAATGCTCTTAAACCGAGAAGGGCGGGCCTGGACTGTTCCCCGGGTAGCCCGCGCTCTCTGGAGCAGACCCCGCCAGCCCCAACAGTGCACCGGACCCAGGATCCTTCAACTGTAGCAGCAAACCGGGTGAAGTGCACTGCCGGTGGTGCCAAGCCGGGGCCCCCTTCCCCGGCTTACAGCCTGAGCGCATTGCGCCTGCGCAGACCGAGATCCACGCTTCAGCGTCTCCCTACGGAGGCTGGCCCCTATGGACTGCGCCTGCGTGGGGAGCTGGCACAGGGCGGGGCCTCCTTCGCTGATGGACTACGCTCACCGCGCCTGCGCGGATCGAAGGCGGTGGCTCAGGCTCCTGGTAGGGAGTATCCGCCCCTTGGCGCCGGCGGTGCGGACGCTGAACTCAGCGGAGAAACGCAGCTGAGGTAGGTTTCCTGATGGGCAGCTCAAGCACCTGGTCCACCCGTGAGGCAGGCCATGCCAGGTGCGGAGTCCTGCCCTACGTGTGTGTCGCTGCCGGTCCAAGGCCTCCGCCCTCCGTGGACCTCCGAACGCCTTCCTGTCTCTTGCCCGCGCCAGGGCCGCAGACCGCGACCTCGGCGCGGCGGATTGCACGCCCAGCCCGGCCGGGCCCGACCCCGCCCACCTGGGCCACGCCCAGCCCCGCCGAGCCCTCGGGGGCACGCCCATCTGCCCCCTCGATTTATTTCCCCAGACACACCCCTTTCTCGCTGCAGCGCCTGTCTTGCGGGTGTGCGTCCTCTTCCGGCCATTCCCACCTTCTGGTCTCTAGCATTCATTCCGCAGCCACGCCCCCTTCCCCCTGGCAAGGTCCCACCACACCCCAAGGTCACACCCATCTCCCCTTCTTCCATGATTCATCCCAGCCTCGCCTCCGCTTTTGCTCCCCCTTCACTCCCCATCGCTCCGCGATCATCCCCTTATCATCTTCCCATCCCTGGTCCTTCTCCCCGTTTCCCCTCGTTTCCCCTCCCTCCCTTTTCTCCTCAGACTCCTTGGTCCACACCCTACACCCATGTCCCCCCTTGTTGGCCCCCCATGATACGATAACCCGGCCCGGAGCCTGCGTACGTCTGCTCCCGCCCGCCGGGTCCCTGGACTGTGGGCATGGGGGAGGTGGGAAGGGTTGCAGAGGGAACACCAGGGCCTACCAGAAACCTTCAGGCCCCGGAGCACACTTCCTTCTGTCGGGTGGGAGACCTTCATGGTGACCCTTAGGGGTAGGTAGGTCATTGCTGAGCACTTTGTGTCTTTTTTACCTGGTAGGACTGGAGGGGAAGATGGAGTAGCAGAGCGGCCGTGATGAGGCAGCGTCTGAGAGAACTATGGACACTGCAGGCGACTGTCCCAGAGGCGACTCGCAGGTACCTACCTGGGCCTGGAGTGTGAGTGCTGTCTGAGGACGCGAACTGGTCCCTCTGAGGGTGGACACCTGTGGGAGCATGGTAACTGGAGGAAGGCAGGCTTACAGGCTGCGTTCTAAGCTGAGCAGTGCCAGCATTTCTTAGGAGCATCAGTCACCTGGGATTCTGTCTTTGGTACCTGAACTGGTGATGTAGGCATACGCTTTCCTGTTTAGGAAAGTCCCAGGTGTAGGTACTAGCATTATGTTGAAGGCAGATTTGACACTAGAAAAGATTCATGTGCTTATCTTTCTGCCTGTGATACACACCATCACTTCTTTCAAGTTAATAGTAAAAAAAAAGTCACTATGTTTTCAGGAATGTTAATTATGTAAAATTAAACAAATTAATACTTAATAAATGTTTTTAAAAACCACACATTTTTCATGTTTGTAATATCAATTTTAACATTTTCATTTTTTATCAGTCTAATGATTGTTCTGTCATTTTTTAAAGAATTACTTTATTAATTTTCTTTATATTATTTCTAAAAATTTGATCAGAAAGGGAGAGAGAGACGGAAGGTGAAAAAGCAAGCGGCCAGGTCCAGGATTCGAACCTTGGTCAGCCATGTGGGAGTCCAGTGCTCTTAACCACCATGCCTCCTGCCAGCCCCCATTTGGGTTTTTATATGTAGGAATTTTATTTCTAAGTTGGCTTATTTCACTAATCTGTTTCATATCATTAATCACCAAATGTTTTAGTTACATGAGCATCTTATTTTTCTTTTGAGAAACAAGAAAATAGGACATTTAGAGGGTTTGGTTTTTTTAAGAATTATTTTATTTGATTTCATTTATTCATTTACTTATTTTAATTTGACCAGAGAGGTACAGAGAGAGAGAGAAAGTGAGAAAGCAAGCCACCAGGTCCAGGACTCGAACCATGGCCAGCCATGTGGGAGTCCAGCACCCTTAACTGCCATGCCACCTACCGGCCGCAGGACATTTAATATTGTTTAATATTGCAAACATTATGTACATGTAGAAAATTTGTTAAGAAATTGAAATCGAAATCTGTTAGCATTTTATCATGTTTCCTTCAGAATGTATGTGTATATAAAACATTAACACTGTGAAGTTTGTTCTCCACCCTGACCTATTTCTCTTCCTCTCTCCAGAGACAAGTACTACTATGAATTATAAATTTGATTGCTTACCCCTGCACCAATTTTTATACCTTTATATCTTTTTTTTTTTTGGAGAGGTTTTCGCTATAGGGCACGTGTGCTCGCCAGACAGACAGAGACATAGAGACAGAAAGCAAGAAATAACCCCCCTGAGGGGATGGTCACGCCGCAATCCTTTCTCCTCCATTCTCCTCTTGGGATCTTGGGCACGCATGCGCATGCGCCCAGCGTGAGTTTTAAGCCACTGGGTCTGGGACGCGAACCACAGTCGACTACGTGGGAGTCCAGTGACATAGCCATTATGCCAACTGCTGGTTCCCGTAACTTGCTTTTTTATTTAAAGATACATTTGGGGGATTTGTTCCTGTTGATTTGTATAGCACCAGTTCAGCCCTACTACGAAAGATAGTTCGTGTAGCTTTTTCAAAAAAAAAAATTCACTGTCATGAATGCATACAAAGGCCTGTTGTAGTAGGTGTCCAACTCATTTTATTTATTCCCTTTTTGTTGGACACTATAGTTGTCACTAGTTTTTCCCTATTTCAAATACTGCTGCAGTGAACCTTTTTTTATAATAATTATTTTATTTAACTTTATTTATTTTAATTTGACCAGAGAGGGACAGAGTGAGAGAGAGAGGGGGAAAGTGAGAAGCAGCTGCCAGGTCCTGGACTCAAACCGTGGTCAGCCATGTGGGAGTCCAGTGCCCTTAACCACCACACCACCTGCAGGCTCCTGCAGTGAACATCTTTCCCAGTGTCTCCATGCTTTAGGGTATGTACCTAATAATGGCATTGCAGGATAAAAGGGATTGCATATTTTCAGTTTTTCTAGATACTGATCAGTTGTTCTCTCAAGTGAGTTTACCAGTTCACAGATCTACAGCAGACCCTAATAGTGTTGCTAATTACTTGAAGAGCATCAGAGTTTTCAATATTAGTCTGCTGGGTTAGAAATGGTATCTTGGGCTAGCCTGTGGCATGGTAGTTAAGGCAACTGGGTCCCACATGGCCTACTGAGCAGTTGCCTTCCTAGTCCTGGAGGCTTGAGAAATATGCTGGGTATGCATGTGTGCACGTATACCTAAAATCCTGAAAGAAGGGAGAAATGGAGAGGGCATTGCAGCATGACATTCCCCATGGGGGCTAGTTTCTCTCCCCAGCAGATTACCCTTCGGCAAAGATTTAAAAAAAAAAAAGGGACCAGCAGTTGGCATAATCGTTATGTTGCTGGACTCCCATGTAGTTGACTGCGGTCCAAGTCCCGGACTTGGTGGCTTAAAACTCAAGCTGGGTGCGTGTGCGTGCATGCCCAAGATCCCGAGAGGAGAATGGAGGAGAAGGGATTGTGGTGTGGCCATCCCCCCTGGGGGGTGATTTCTTGCTTTCTATCTCTCTGTCTCTGTCTCTGTCTGGTGAGCGCACACACCCTATAACACAAAAACCTCTCCAAAAAAAAAAAAAGAAAGAAATGGTATCTTGTTATTTTAGTTTTCCTGATTACTTGTGAGTCATGGTGGTATTTCAGTAATGGAATGCTTGCATTCATTCTGTTAATATCACCCTTCGTTGTAGAAGAGATGCCTATGTTGGTAATTTGTATTTTATCTTTTTTGATCATTTTTTTTTAGAGTCTTGTCAGTTTTATCTTTTCAAATGAGAATCAATTTTGTCTTCATTGACATTCTCTTTTCTTGTTTCTTTTATTTCTGCTTTCTCTGTACTGTGTGGAATTTGAGTTTAATTTTTTTTGTTACATCTCAAGATAGAAGCTTATTGCTTTTAAGCCTTTCTATATATATATATATATATATATATATATATATACACACACATACATATATATACACACATATATATATATACACACACATATATATGTACCAAGAGGATGGCAGTGCCATAATCCTTCTCCTCTAGTCTCCTCTCACGATTTTGGGCATGTACACACATGTCCCTGGCATGATTTTCTTTCTTTTCTTTTTTTTTAGGTTTTTGCCATAGGATGTATGTACTCACAAGAGACAGAAAGAGAGAAAGTGAAAATTTGTCATAGCATGGGAGAGTGTTGAGCTGTGTTGTGTGAAGTCCTTGGTTCTGTGGGTCCAGATCACTAAAATTAGAGACCTTTCCCTAGGCGTAAAATAAAGCCACAACCACAATAAAAGTAGATAGGAAAAAGAATTTAATAGGAAAGAAAGATTTTAGAAAAGTACACACCCAAAAGACTTTTGGGCAGGCAGGTTGGAAGGTAGCAACTGCCTCTGGAACCAGTTAGGTATTTTTATTACCGGAGGTGATAATGAATATTTAACAGGGGTAAGTCTGTTAAATTATCTATGTCCTTTGTTTGAATTCCCGGGCTTTCTCCTGTACTTGTGCATCTCTCTCACAGGTGAAGAATTTGAGGGATTCGATGACCTAACTGCATTCCTGGTGTGAGCCATGATGATAGGAGCATCATAATGAGGATGACCTGCCCAATTAGTTTATTGCCCCAGTGGGAATCAGGATGTTGACTAAAATGTCTGGTTAGGCCTTTTTGTATTTATGAGAAATGATAAGAGGGAAATTTACAATCATCCCTATGTGTTTTCACCAGGTTCCAAGGAAGAAAAATGGTATTTGCCTCGCCTTCCCCGGGCCAGTAACTGGGTGGGAAGAAAGCATTTCATGGAGAGTTTGTGGTTGTAACTCCTAATAAATTATGATTGATGTGGCATGTGTCCTGCTATTCTCTTAGGGCTACCCGTACACTAACTGCCTACCACAAAAGCCCTCCCAGGGAAGATGGCCACACCATAATCCCTTCTCCTCTCAGGATTTTAAGCATGCACACACATGTGCCTGGTGGGATTTTTAAGGTGCTAGGTTCAGGACTTGAACTGAAATTGGTCATGTGGGAATCCAGTGCCTTAACTACCACTCCACCTGCTGGCCCCTCTAATATAATCACTGCTCTAGCTATACCTCACATATTTAAATGAGTTGTATTTTCATTGTCCAGTTAAATTTTTTTGTTTGTTTTTAGTTTTAGCCATAAGGACATGCACTCACCAGAGAGAGAGACAGAGAGAAGGAAAGTGAGAACTCATCACCCAGCGGGGATGGCCCCACGGCAGTTTCTTTTCCTCCAATCTCCTGGGATTTGAAGCACACATGTGTATGTGCCCAGCATGATTTTCAAGCTGCCAAGTCCAAGACTCAAACTGCAGCTGGCTTCTTGGGAATCCTGTGCCTTAACCATCACACTGCCTGCTGACCCTCTTAAAATATTTTTTAATATATCACAATGGAAATTAGAAATTTACTAGGCTAAGGCCAGCCAACAGCATGGTGGTTAAGGTGACTGGATCCTACATGGCTGACTACATAGTTGAGGCTGGATTCAACAACTTGAAATACATACCAAGCACATGTGTGTGTGTGTGCCCAAAATCCCGAGAGGAGAATGGAGGAGAAGAGATTGTGACATGACCATCCACCCTGGTAGATGCTTTCTCATTTTCCCTGTCTATCTCCCTGTAGCAAAACTTAAAAAAAAAAAAAAGTTAGAAGAAAAAAGAAATTTACTGGGATGTTTGGAAGTGTGTTGCCTAATTTCCAAACATTTGGGAAATTTTACTTATCTTTTTGTTATTTGACTTTGGTTTGATTATGTTTGTTTAGAGAACATAATATACTCTAATTTCAGTCCTTTGAATTTTTATTCGGGTCTTCTTTATGGCCTAGTCATATGGACTGTTTTGTGGAACCATGTGTATGGCTTAGTCATATGGACTGTTTTGTGGAACCATGTGCATTTGCAAAGACTGTATATCTTGCAGTCATTG